ATCTTGGTGGGCATGAAAGTGATTTAGACTGGTCAATTTTAATTGAATAAATAAAAAACATTATTAAAATGTAACTTATCAATTAATTTTACTATTATTTTGCCGAACTTAATAAAATTCATATAAATTCAGTTTAACCTGAATTATTTAAGTCAAATTACAGTCAGATCGAGTCGAGTTCAGGTTACATAGTTGACTGACCCAAAAATTTGAGTCGGGTTACATGAATATTCGAGTCAAGTTCGAACATCCCCTCAAACCAGACCTAACCCGACCCATATAGGGCACTAATTATACCCGAATCTTAATTTGAGAACATTTTTTTGCACCTAATAAAATATCTAGATATATTATTATGGGAGTACAGTCAAAGGGGGGTCTCTTAGGCAGTGCTCTATGGTATCTGATAGAATAAAAACTTATTTAAATTATTAAAAAGTAATAATTTAATAAAGATAATAAACTTAATATTTATCTTTAACAAACTATAAATGAGAGATAAAATCTTTTAATAACAGTTAAACTTAGATGAAAATATATTAAAATTATAATAAGGAATATTTTGGTATAATGAAAACTAAAACTATCAAAATATAAAATAAATATGATGAAATATTTTAAAGAGTTTAACCAAACTAGTTTTCTTCTTTGTGATTATCATCCCATTTTTCTGAATCAACTTTAGAAGTTGATCCTTTACTAAAACTCTTGTTTTTACTACTTCAATCCCTGTCATTCCTAAAACTAGTAACAGTATAGACGAGAACTAAGCATTTAAACCTTACTGAAAATTTACTTAAAGTTAGTAATACCACATCTAATGGATTATATTTTTATAATTTACATGGTTTTTCTGTTTATTACTTATATTTTTAGATAGAAAATTAATCAGTAGATTTTGGTAATATTTATGTTATGTTTTTGCGAATTATATTAGATTTTTATTATTAATAAAATTATAATATTTAATAAATCTAATAAATATAATATATCAATTTTATATGCTTATTTGACTGAATTGATACCAAATTGAAGCTAATTTTAGGCTGATTTATGGTTGAATTTAAGTTCTGAATTAATGCCAAATGGTCATATCTAATTGAAGTTGATCAATATCTATCGACACCTGTTTATGCTAATCAGAAAATATGGCAAATCAGCTATAAATGGTATCAAAATCAGCTTAAAATCAGCCATCTGATTTTTAGCCGATTTGGACTATTTCAACCAGTATTATTATAAATACTTTTTGTTATAAGGTCTTTTCTAGTTAGATGTAAATTACAAATAGTATTTTTTTGGTTTAATATTCTATCTTTATTTTGATAGTTACATTTTTTTTAAGGTTAAGATATGACTAATGTGACTAATACTAATGAAATCTGAATCTAAAATTAGGACATAATAATCATAATTTAATATATTTGCTATAACTATCAACATTCTGTTTAAATTTTAATAATATTTTTGAATCTTTATAGTAATAATGTCTAAATGGAAAAAGATCAGAAAATAATAAGGATTATATATTAGGATTATAATTAGGTATAGGTAAATCTAGATTTTTGCTATCTATTTTTAAGAAACCTGCCACTAAATATTAATATTTGTAATCTTCATTATGTATTTTAGTAGGAAAGTTTTCATTTAATATAATTAATGAAGAAGGTTGGTTTTGTGTTGACCAAGAAGATATATTAGTTAATATAGTTATTAAATATGGTTGATTTGTTATATTTTATATTGGTAATTCAAAAGATGATAAATGATTATATTCTTTAAATATAGAATTATTTTCTTTTAGTCACTAACTTGCGGGTATTAATGTTAGATAAAACCAGTTAAGAGAATCTTCTTGTTCTTAATTTAGAAAGGCTCCAATTAAACCTGAATGTATTTGAAGTGCATATTTGTTTTTGGAAAAGTTAATGAATCCTTTTAAGTGTCGATAGTTTGTATATGAATTAGATTCTAAAGTTTAATTTAATATATAATTCATATGTATTAGTGATAAGTTTTTTTGATATATTATAGGAATGCATTTATTTCTTCTAGTATTAGAGATAGGATTAGTGAATATCAATGAGTCTTTTTAGATTTACAAGAAGAATATACAGCAAATTTTATTTTACCTTGATTATTTAAGTGAGTTACTATTTTAATATTTAGAAAGGCTATAGGTAATGTATATTCTTCAGTTGTATTGTAATCAATTTAATTTATTATTTAGTTCATCATTAATATTGAACAGTATGTATATAGTAAAAATGGATGATCATATAAAATATTTTCTTGAAATTCATTTAATAAGTTATTAAGTTTATCTGATATTTTCCACAGTTCATAGATTATTATAGAAAAAAAAAAGAGGTATATATGTGATTTTGATTGATTAATATTACATTTTATGAATTTTGTATATTTTAGTTAATTTAGTTTTGTTTTACATAGCTATCAAGAAGTGATAAGTTAAAAAATATTTGGTCATTATTGTAATATTAGATTTTATTCTATAGAATTTAAAAATATATATTGTATCATATAGATATTTTTGGTTTTGTTTTTTTTGTTATTTGTTTTTTATTATTATAGTTATATTTATTTTTTTGCAATTTATGTATGATAATGATAAATAATTAAAAAAGTTTTATTTAATTATTATTATAATTTATTTATTTAATTTATATATGCTTAATGATAAATGATTAATTAAGAAGTTAATATTTTTTTATTTATCAGTCTATCTTTTTTTAGTTTAAAATTTTTAATAAAAGAATAATTTAAATTGTTTTTTAATTTATTTGATTTATTTTTTTTTAATAAATTTTTTTAATGATTTTTTATTAGATGATAAAATAATAATAAATTTATTATGTTAAAATAAAAGAATTCTTTTTATTTTAGCTGAAAATAATTAATCAATTAGTTGATTTATTAATTCAGAAGTATTTGATTTTTTATATTTAATTATTAAATAAAATAATAAACTTTTTTTTATTGTTAAAAAAAGAACTAAAATAATATTTAATATAATAATAGAATAAACTATACTGATGTGAAAAAAAAAGATTAGAATTTTTACACCAATATTTATTTACAATGGGAAAAAAAAATTATTTTTTATTTTTTTCATTGCAAATCTTAATTTGAATGATCTTGAAGTTTTTTCAGTAGCATTATTTTGATATTTATCATCTAATTCTTTAACATAATTTTCTTCATAATTATTATCATCTTTTCTGTTAGATTCTTCCAGTTCACTTTTTATTTCTTCTATATTGATTTGTGATTTTTGATCCGTTTTAATTGATTTTATTTTTTTGTATCTGTTTTCATAATTCATTAGATCTTGGTTACATTATTTTTTATTATTTGTAGTTTATTTTAAGAATGATGTGCTACTTTTATTTCCTAAATATGTATTATTCCATTCAATATCAGTTATTACAATATGTATCATATTATCTCTCTTGTGCAATTTGTCACAGATAAAGATTATTACTTTAGATTCAATTGCTCTTGCAATACCAGTATATCTAAAATTAGCTATATTATATGAATATGTGACTTCTAATATTAGATAATTAGAAGTCATTAGATTATATGCCTTTTGTTTTAAGGTGAAGTAAGAAATTGAATTTTTATTAATTTTTGAAGATTTGTATAGAGCTGAGTAAATTTTGAAAGCTGAAGATATTGGAAGATCTTTTATTGATAGTTCATCTTTAATAATTTTTAGATCTAAAGATATTGCTTGACTGACCTATTTTCATATTTTTTTTTATTTTAATTGAATTAGAAAAGAAAATAGAAAAGATAAATATTTTTTAATTTAATTAGTATAATTATTTTTATAAATATAATAAATATATATTTACGTTAAGTTCAGAATTTTCTAAGATGAATTTACCAATAATTAGTATAATTTTATTATTAGCAAAGTTAAATGCTTTATAATTGTAGCTTATGAATTCATCTTCATCGCTTCAGTATGTAGCAATTCCTATTAGTATTATATTACTAGAAGTTGTTTCAATAAGGGAAATAACAGCAAATACAAATGTTATTATTCTTTTTTTTTGCATTTTTTATGTTTTTTCTTTCATTCTTTTTTTTTATAGTTTATAAATAACAAAAGAGGATACATGTTTTGTTTATTTTTTATATTTTTTAGTTTAAGAAAAAATTTTAGTTTGAGAAGAAAAAAATAAAATGATAAAAATTTTAAATCATAAAATAAATTTATTTAGTTAGTTAAAATTTTTATTGATTCAGAATCTTATCTGATTTTTGCATAGATAGCATATTATTTGTATTGTTCTATTTATTATTTATTTTAGTTTTTTTTTTTTAGTTTAAATCTTATTATTAAATGATTTTTGCATTATCTGTATTGTTCTATTTGTTATTTATTTTTAGTCTTATTTTTTAGTCATATTATCAAATGAAAATTCCTTTTTTAATCTTTTGTGTATATAAATAAATAAAATAACAAAAAAAAATTTTAATTTAGTTTTTTCTAGATTATTATCTATTTTTATTTTTTTTAATAAAACATAACTCAAGAAAAATGTCTATGTATTATACAATGTCATGATTAATGACTTTTATTCTACAATCTGACAGAGAAAAATTTTTTTTATCAACATTAATAAATCAAGAAAATTATTAAATATAAAGGCTAAATTTTAACCTCAGTTGAGTTTGCTAAATAAAAAATAATTTTCAGTCTTACAAAATAATATTCAATCGTTCTCATTTTTTAAATTTTAGAAAAAAAATATTACATCTTTGTTCTACATAAATTATATAATTTAAACCAATTTGTGCTATAATAAAAAAAATTTGTCATATAAATTTTAAAAAAATAAATAGTGCGAGTCAAGGATTTTTTCATTTACAAAGGATGGTCAAAAGTTTCTAGACATCTTTATAAATGTGATTTAAAAAATTTTCATCATATAATTGTGATACTATACTGCAGTTATATGACTGTCAATTGTTTATGTATATAATTAAAATAAAAAAATTCGTGTTGTTTTTGTTATTTAATTTATATCACTTATTCTTTACCAAATTGAAAAATAATAGGACAAAATAAAGAATTAACCAAAGAACAACACAGAGCTATATTTTACTATTACTAACATAATGACAGTTACCAGACTATTATAAAGATCGTTAACTATAGAAAATCAACTATTTGTGATATATTAAAAAGAGCTAGCACCACAGGATCAACTGAATCAATGCCTCGCTTTGAACGATAACCTTGATTATAATTCCTCAATGTAATTGCCTCAAACGAATCATTACAAATAATAAAATTAAAAATTGTCATTTTTATACTACTGGAGTGCAGCAACTTTGAAAAAAAAGTCTGGACAAGATGTTTCAACCCAGACTATTAGACGAGTTCTTCATTCAACTGGATTAAGAAACTGTATTGTATGAAGAAAACCTTTAATTTCATTATTGAACATAGAGGCATATCTCGCATGATGTTTAGAGTATCAAAGTTGGATAAAAGAGGATTGGTCAAAGGTCATGTGGAGTGATGAATTGACTTTCTCTCAATTCTAACAAAATCACAATAGCAGGATATGGTGAGAACCAGCAGATGAATAGGCTTTATCCTATATATTAACCACAGTAAAATATAGCCCAAGCCATATGTATTAGGGCTGTTTTTCTCGAATGGGAAAAGTGCCAATTTTTGCATTATCTAAAACAGCAAATAGTAAATCACATATCATTATTCTTCGTAAATATGTAATGCTAGCTATTAAATGAATATTTCCTAATAATGATAGCTGGTTTTAAGAAGATAATGCCCATTCGTAAAAATCAAAAGTTGCAATGAATTTTCAGGCAAAAAATGGTTTTCTTACATTAACTTAGTCAACCCAAAATCCTAACCTCAACCCAATTGAAAATTTATGGGTTGAGATTAAAAAAAACATTTGTGCATATAAAAAACTACCATTAAATTTTGCTGACCTTAATCAATATATTAAAAAGGCATGATGAGAAATTCTGATGTATACTATTAAAAATTTAGTCAATAGTATGCCACAGTGAATTCAGGCTGTGATTATGGCAAAGGGAGGCCAAACTAAGTACTAAAAGCTTAATATGAATTGTATGCCTTAACCAACTCTAAATAAAATAATATCAGTTTTATATTTGGTGAAAAAGTTTCTGAAAATTTTTGACCACCCTCTATATAATGGATTATAAAATTCTATTTTACAAATTTTAAAAGAATTTGTTATGTGATTTATCAAAAAATTAATAAATTATTTATAATTATAAATTTTAAATAAGAGTAATTATAAAGTAAGAAATTTAAATAAAAAATAATGTTAACCACAGTATATTTCGTTAGAAATATTGATTATTTGGTTATAAGAGCAGAAGAGTATTTTATTTATAATAACTGCCTTTTTTAACTTCTTTCTTTCCAAATAAATCAGTTTTTTAAAACTGATATTTTTTCTTACTCATGATCATTCAGAGCTGATTGTTTCTAATAATCTCTAAATAAACGAATATTATAATAATCAAGAACTATACAAACATTTTCTTTCTTGTATTACTAATTTATAACAATATAAAAAAGAAAACCTTAGTTAAATTCTGATCATCTGATCGTTTAATCATTTTTCAGATAAGGTTTCATAAAACTTGAGCTATTTTTACATGCTTAATAATATCAATATTTTATAACTGAATATAGTTAACCAGTTAAAATTTTAATAGCAGTTTTAATCACTATTTTTTATCACACTATTCATTTTTTATTAAATTATTTGAAAATTCATTCATTTATTAAAAAGCTAGTATGATAAATTTTTTTAATTATTAAGTAATGTAGCTAAGAAAATTTAATTTTTTTTAAAAAAAATAAAAAGTTATTAATGTAAAATAACAAAAAAATAATAGCATGAATTTTTTAGTTATTCTTATAAAATATTAATATTAATATTTTTGTTCTTAGCAAAGGCATATTTTTAAAATATAAGCAAATTTTTTTATATTTTATGTAATCCCAGATATATAAACTTAAATTAATGCTAATGGTATATAAATGCTAAATCTAGCTAAACATAATTTAAAGGATCACAATTCTGATAGAATATAATTGCAAAGTAAAAGATAAATAATAATCAAAATGAGAGATTGAGATAACGTAATTTATAAAATAAAATAAAACTATTAAAAGTTTATTAAACTAAGAAAATGTAACTAGCTAACGTTTATTACAAAATTATATTATAATAAGTTACAAATTGTTTTCAGATATTTTATATTATATTATTAAAACAAATTTTCTATTTATAGGCTTTGTCAATAGAAATAAACTATATAATATCATATTCCTTCATCCATTGTTAAAAATAGATGATTGAACTTGTGATTAAAATATTATTAAATATGTCAAGAAATTATAAAAATTACAAGTATGAATATTTTTGATTCATAAAATGAAGTAGAATGAATATTTTATATGTTACCAAAAGCAATAAATTGTGTTTTCTAAAGCCAAGTAGTTTATAGTTTTAAATAATTTATTTGTTTGTCGAATAACTTTATAAGTATTCAATAATTCTAAATAATAGTTTGTAATAAAATTACTTATAAATAGCTCGATTGTTTAATGATCTTTATTACTTATTATACAAATCTAAAGAGTTTTTTTTTGTATTTGAAATAATAGTTAATAGGAACAGTTTTAATAATTATCAATAAAATTAATTTCCAATAATTTTTAACACTATATACAGTTTATTCTATATAGATGTTAGTGTCAAGTGATTCCACTTTATATTGTTAGCTATAGCCATTTCCAAAAGAAAGGAAGAAATAGGTATAAATTCAGTTAGCTTCATGCAAGAACTATAGGGTTATTTTATATTCAATATTGATATTAATTTCAATTTCAATATCAATATTAATATTGATAGAAATAATGGTTATTTATATATGAATTTAAAAAAAAAATGAGATAAAAAATTAATAATTATGATTACTAATATTTAAAAATGATAAAATCAAAGAATTTGTCAAATACTTATGCTATGGTAATAAAAATAGATAATTCCAGTCAAAGGAATTATTCATTTTTTATCTAGCTTAAAAAAATAAATTATAGTGAGAATAATAAAAGAACAAAACACTAAAAAAAATAATTTTAGTTACCTGTATTGATTACTGATTATAATCTGTCTTATTTAACCTAAAATTGTCTAAGAAAAAAATAAAATAATTAATTAAATAAATAAATTTAATTGGTAATTAGAACTAATTACCAAAATAAGAAAAAAAAAATAATAAATTGATAAAAATTGATAGCTTATTTTTATTTTAATGATGAATTAAACAGTTTTGTTAAAAAGTTCTATCTGATTCTTAGCATAAGAGAGGAACTGATTGAATCTAAATAAAAAAGAAATAAAGATAAAATATAAAATTAATATTTTATAAAAAAAATTAAAAAAAAATAAAATTGACAGTGTGATGATAAACCAAATAGTTCTATTTAAAAGTTTTATCTAATTCTTAGTCTAATAAAGGAAACTAATCTAACTTAAAATAAAAAAAAAATAAAAGAATAAAATTATCTAATCATTTTAGTTTTTTTTTAATTTTTATTTTATTTTTATTTTAGTTTTATTTTATTTTTTATAAATAATAAAATAAAAAAACAAAAGAAAAAAAAAAAAATAATAAACAAAGCAAAAAAGAATAATAATATATAAAAAATATATTATAAAAGATATATATATACAGTATATATAAAAAAGATTAGAAAAATAAAAAAATATAAAAAAAATATTAAAGAAAAATATAAAAATAAAAAGATTAGAGTAGAGGGAGAAAAAATATAAAAAAATATAAAATAATAAAAAGTAAAGGGAAAATAAAAATAAAATAAAATAAAATAAATATAAAAAAATAAAAAATAAAAAATAAAATAAAATAAAACAAATAAAATAAAATAAAAATAAAAAAATTAAATTAAATTAAAAATTGAAAATAATAGTAAAAAAAAATAAAATTTAAAAATAAAATTTTATATATAAATATAACAAAATTGAATTAAACTAAAAAAATAAAGCTAAAGCTAAAATTAAAAAATAAATTCATAATAGATGGTAAAATAATTAATTAATTAAATCAAAAAATTTTATTTTAAAATTTAATTAAAATTTATAAAGGATTAAAAAATTAAAACTTAAAATAAATAAATAAGATTAGAATTTATTATATATAAAAATATTAATTTTTTAATTTTTAAATTTATTTAATTTTTTATTTATATAATTTTTTTATATTATAATTATATTTAATTTATTAAAGCTTTACATTATATTATTATAATAGTAATCTCAGAATATAGTTTAAGTAAAATTAATAGTAAAACAATAAATTAATAAATCAAAAAAAGAATTTTATCAGCTTAGCTTTGCTATAGTAATAAACTAGACTGTTCTAATTTTATATATAATATATATATAGAGCAGTTAATAAAAAGGAGGAAATGTACAGATTTTGAGTAATTTTAATTATTTAACTAGTTTTGTTTATATGACTATGATCAGCAGAGTAAACTAATAAAAAAATTTTTTGACTAATAAGTAGATTTCTCTTTTTTCTACTGACCACTTCTTATATATTAACAAATTAAATAAAATATATGTATTTCTTTCATATTAAGGCCAACCTCTAGCCGGTTATAATTATGAATCTAATTAATTTTCTAAAATATAGGAATGATTAATAAAATATATTCAATTAATTAATCAATTAAAATCTTCTCATTATTTATAAAATAACATATTTTAAGCGAGTTATTATAATTTTTTCATTTTTTTTTTTAGATAATATAAGAAATAGGTAAAAAATACATTTAAATATTATCTTTAAATTTTTAATTTATATATTATAAAAGTCAAAGTTTTCAGTTTCAAAAAAATTAGAAATTTATAAAAAATGCTAGAATTTATTTTAGTATTATATTTTATTTTTTATTATATTGATTTTATTATATATTTATTTTGACTGAAAAGCACATTGGTCGCAAAATCATGGATTGATATTTTTTTTTTATTATTATTATATTAACATCTTTATCACATTTAACTTTATCTGAACAATACTTTTTAATCATAAAAATAAAAATAGAATTATAAAATATTTTATAAAGATTATATATATAATATATTATATAAAATATTTTATGGATTGGATTTGTTATTTTTTTACATTTTTTATTTATTATCATGTATAACTTTTCTAACACATTTAACTTGATTGAATAACACTCTTAGTTATAGAATAAATAATAAAATTATAGATTAAGTTTAGAGATTTTATAATAGATAGTATAATATATAAAGAAAATTTATAGATAGGTTTGCTTTATTAATGATTTTTTTAAACTTCTTTATATTAACTTTATTAATGCTTTAAACTTAACTGGATAATACACTTGATCATAAAATAATAAGGAATTATAATTGATTTTTAAGTATTTCTTTCTGATTTTTTTTGTTACCTTTATAATATAATTAACTTTAACTAGATTGGATTACATGTTTAATCATAGAATAAGTATCAAAAATATAAATTAATTTTAAAGATTATTAAATTTCATAGATTAGGTTTACCATTTTTATTTTATTTTTTATATATTAACTTTACTAATGTATTTAACTTAATTAAAAATCACAGATTAAACAAAAGAATTATAAATTTGATTTTAGAGATTTATAATAAATAATGTAACACATAAAAAATTTATAAAAAAGATTGATTTAAATAAGAAGTTTTAAGAATTATTTTAATTACTAATTATTATATGTGAAATCCACTCTCTTTAAAATTATTTTAAATATTTCTTGTAAGAATTACTTTAGATATAAAGAATCTAATTTAAAGAATAAATAAAATTATTATAAACTAGATAAGATTATAACTAATCGATTTTAAAATTGATAATAATACTAATATCTATAATATTAATATAATTAAATAAAATTCCTATTAGCATTTATTAATACTCAAAAAATTTGAGCTTTCCTAATTAGAATTAATGATTTTAAAAGATATTAATTTAAATAATAATTATAATGAATTAATTTGTTTATTAATAATTAGTCTTATTTGTATCACAAAAAAGTGAGGAATATATCTAATAATAATAATTATTACTATTAATAATTTATCAAAAAATATGTAAGTTATTTATTAATTCTAAATAAATGAATACTCATAAGTATTAAAAGTAAAAAATTGTAATTTGTAATAAAAAATTTAACTAACCATATTTGATAAAACCTTTGCAATTAAAAAAAAACCAAAGATAAAAATAAGTTAATACTACAGTAAATTGAATATATTTTGACCAAAAATCATATTTAACATATAAAAGTAAAATTGATTTTTTCTGACAATTTTCTTTTTTTGATTGCAAAAGTCCTATATGATCAATAGAAAGTAAATTCATAGAGAACCTAATAAAATATCATTTTAATTAGAAAATATACAATTTAAAAATTCTTAACTAATTAAATAAATTAATAGTTTTCTCTTACATTAATATAAGTTATAACCAAATGTATTAATTAGTTTATTTTAATTATTTTAAAATAAAGTTAATAAATTTATTTTTTTATAGATTCTAAAATTTTCAACTAAATACAAAATTCAAAGAGTTTTAGTTTTGAAAAAATAAAGTAAAAGTGAGAATTGAAATATGAAAAGTTTATTTTAGGGTTGGATCGGTCCGTCCAAAATATTGTTTCCTTTTCTGTCCAGACCGATTTATAAGACCGGGTCCTTAGCATATATGATATTAAAGGATTAATTTTATAGAAGATTAAAGTAAAATTGTTTTTATTATAAATGAATTCAAATATAAAAATTATATAACCAAATCAAAGTGTTTAAAACTGTATATATTATTTCTCACAAACATAGGGTTGGATCGGTCTCAGTCCTACCAGCCCGGTCCGGTCCAAGATTTGTTTCCTTCTCAATCCAGATTGATTTACAAGAATGGTTCAAGGTTCGGCATAGAATATATTAGAAATAAATATTCATCTGATATATACATATTTAATGATATATAAAAAGTATAATAATAATTGCATACAAAACGATTACTGCGCCTTCTTAATCTCGTTATTTTTCCATTTCTATTTAGAACATTATTGTTATAGTAAAATGTTAGGACAGGTCCAAGGACTTATGGACCGGTCCGTTCCATAAGAGAGATGAATACCAAACCAGGTCGAACCAACTATAATTTTGTAATATTTTATAAATAAAATAAATATTTTATAATATAATCCTTAATTTAAATAATATATGCTATAAATAATAAAGGACCGGTCCGGACCGGTCCTCAGAATAAGGACCGAGGACCGCAAGGACCTGTCCCATTAACCGGTCTAAGACCGGTCTTACCAGGACCGATCCATCCCTAGTTTATTTCAAAGGTAAACTTTACTAAAATTTTTTCTCTGTATTATAGAAAAGAAAGAAATTAGGAATAATCTATTCTATAACTAAGCTAAGTTAATCTGACAACAGCTAAAGTTTTGATAGAGAAGTTTCAAATTGCTTGAAAATTGATGAGTAATAAGCTGTATATATTTATACTTTAATATGATAAGTGTCTTGCTACTGTAAAATATTTAAACTTAATCATTAATGATTCGTAAGAAATTGATTCAGATATTCAAGGATTTCATGACTGTTTAGCCAAGATATTTTTCAGAATATTTTTACTTAAAAATTCCCTTTGGAAAAAATACTTTCCTTAATATAATAACCAAGTTTCGTAATCAATATTGGTTCTTTATGAAGTTAGAAATGTAAGCTATTAAATTATGATATTATATCTAACTATGTCTAGCTACTTGATTTTAACAACAATTTACACCAGATAATGGGAAATTTTCGCTTATTATTCTTTTTTAAAAGTGTTATAATTCATTTCTTTCTTATATTAAAACCTTTTAGATTAAGATGAAATTTTTGCTTCTATAGTCTTGTTTCTATTGAGTAAAAGTAGTTGAATTTTGATATCTGTCAAAATAAAATGGTTCTTTTGATTGAACTATGTATAAAAATTTTTATAGCTGGTATAGTATTAATAGTATTTAAATTAAATCAAGCAATATATACTGTTAATCAGACCTGGCAATGTCAAAAACTGTCAAAGAACTTGGAATGTAGAAGATATTACCAAAGTCCAGAGATGGCATTTGGGTCGCGGAAAAAGCATTACTGGAAATTTAAACGGCCAATCTCTGCCCAAATATCCAAATGTCAACGCTGCCAAAGACTATGAGTTCTCATAATTATAGGGTTTTGTGAAATGTCTTGTTTTTTTTACAATTGTCATATCAATTAGTAAAAGAAAATATATATTAACTTATTGCTATCCACATAATTAAGCTTTTCATTGTCATATTAATTAATTAAATAGCGAAGATAGTAATCTTTAAATATTGACTATATGACACTTTCATATGCAGGAGAACAAAGACCATAGGTCATTTAATGCGAGTCGTTTCGCTAATCGACACAAAATCTATTATTTTAATCTTTATTTGATAAATTGAAGATTTAGATTTTATCATATTAATCTATTAAATAATAAAATATATGGAGCAATATATTTCAAGATTTCTTCAAAATTTTTTGACTTGTACTGGTTGTTAAAATTAAATATGTTGCTCATCTTATTATGACACGGAATTAAAATTGTAATATTCACGATTATAATGAAAAGTTCTGAATTCTGCTCCTTTAAATAATCAACGATTGAAGGTTGGTATGCGAAAAAATAAAAAAAAATGATGAAATAAACATGGTCATGAATTTACGAAAACCATCCAAAAAGTAATTTTTACAAGTAGAGCACTTTCTGAAGATATTGATATTAAACAACTATGTGTCGTATTTTACTATGATTAAACTTATAGCATTGTCGTTTCATCATGGCGAATTCCTATTAAAATCACTTTATGGTTACGGACCATATCGACACATTTTTTTATTTAACCAAATTTTTTTTAGGAATAGTATTTAATTTCATTGACTCATATTCGATATTGCAACACATAGAAAATTATGAACTGTTACTTGCAAGGATTTAATGCAATTTGATTATTTAATCTATAAAAAAAGGTAAAATGTTTTATAAATATGACAAAGTTACCGTGAATGATCGAAAATTATTACCGTTCCCTGATTGTTTTGCGAATATGATGATAGGTAATTCCCTTTCTAAGGAAATTTGTATTGATAATATAAATAAAACCAGTTTTCAGCCCGTATTTTAAGAGGTCTAGTTATATAAAGATAACTTCACTAGACAATTTATAATAAGGAGGCTATCATATTCAAGTTTCTTTAAAAGAGGTACTGCTGACTTGATTTTAGGAAGAAATGCATATTCACCACGAGACTTGCCCCAGTTTTAGAAAGTATTGTAATTGATTGTTGAGGATCCTTTTTGGAACGGAGTCGCATCTTGAATTTTACGATTTGCAGCAAAGTTAAAGGAATATCCTTTAAGCAAGTCATACATTGCATAATCACAAATATCATAGGGAGTTTCAAGGACCATTTGAATTTGGTATCACTGAAGTTTTTGTTGAGACATCGTACGCGTAAAGACTTCTTTTTTCGTTTGACACCTTCTTTTTCGATCAGATGTATGTCCATCGTGCTGTTCACATCCATCTACTTAGTTTCAGCTGCTCCTGCTGGTTGGGATAAAAGCGAATACATCGTAACTTACCTGCCGGAAGTTTCTTCACTTCCTTCTTGGAACTCTGGGCTCCTTCTGCGATTGGCGGCTGAACGTAGTCCAGGTGACCACCACTTCTTCGATTCCTTTAGAGTATATTCGATTCGTCCAAAAGGGTAACAACCCCCCTACACGTTCTGAACTAACTCTTGCGTAACAACATTTTTTCAACCGAAACACCATATGTCTCTTGGATTTACTTGCACTTTGGTAGGTAATCTTTTCTGAGCCAGTGTTGTAAAAAATGTTGTTTATTTAGTTATTGATAGGACTGTGTTTATTAAAATTATGTTTCCAAATATGGGAGGTTTGCTATTAAAATCAAGTTACGAACATAGTAACTCATATTATACGTAACGTGATTTTAATAGCTTACCTCCCATATTTGAGTTGAAATGCGAAGATCAGATTTGTAATACGAAAACTAGGTTAGGTTGGTGTGCGGCGACTTTGTCGCCGCTATTTATGGTTATTATACTGCTTTAGTTGTAATATATCCTTCATTAAGTTATCGCCGTGACGAGCCGAAGGGTTCATCAGAAGTGCCGCGCCCGCATTCGTCCGAAAGGGCGGAATCGG